TACCATTTAGTCGTGCGGCTACTCTACCACTAGTCGTAATACTACTCTACCACTAGTCGTAAGGCTACACTACCACTAGCCGTGAGGCTACACTACCACTAGTCGTGGGGCTACACTACCACTAGTCGTGAGGCTACACTTCCACTGGCCGTGAGGCTACACTACCACTAGTCGAGTGACTACACTACCACTAGTCGTGAAGGTTCACTACCACTAGTCGTGAGGCTACACTACCACTAGTCGTGTGACTACACAACCACTACACTACCACTAGCCGCGTTACTACACTACCACTAGTTGTGAGGCTACACTACCACTAGTCGTGGCGCTAAACTACCACTATTCTCGAGGCTACACTACCACTAGTCGTGTGATTACACAACCACTACACTACCACCAGTCGTGAGGCTATACTACCACTAGTCGCGAGGCTACACTACCACTAGTCATAAGGCTACACTACCACTAGTCGTGAGGTAACACTACCACTAGTCGTGAGGCTACACTACCACTAGTCGTAAGGCTACACTACGACTAGCCTTGAGGCTACACTACCATTTAGTCGTGACGCTACACTACCACTAGTCGTAATACTACACTACCACTAGTCCTGAGACTACACTACCACTAGTCGTGAGGCTACAATACCACTGGCTGTGAGGCTACACTATCACTAGTCGTGAGGCTACACTACCACTAGTCGTGAGGCTACACTACCACTAGTCGTGAGGCTACACTACCACTAGCCGTGAGGCTACACTACCACTAGTCGTGAGGCTACAATACCACTAGCCGTGAAACTACAATACCACTAGCCGTGAGGGTACACTACCACTAGTCGTGAGGCTACACTACCACTTGTCCCGAGGCTACACTACCACTAGTCGTGAGACTACACTACCACTAGTCGTGAGGCTACACTACCACTAGTCGTGAGGCTACACTACCACTAGTAATTGCTAAGAGCTCGAGATACATACGAAATAAGAGAAAAGTTACATTGAAACGGTGTTAGCAATGTAACCCTCGCAGAGCAAGTCAATCACTTCTGTCGTGGAAACGATCGCCTGTACAGGACCACAGGATGAGTTAAATAATGGTTGCAGTCCTGGTGGCTCTGGATCAACACAGAAGACTCTTCCGTCTGATTTCAGGATGCTGTTCTTCCACAAGGCTACAAGGCTAGCAACTGCCATGCATCAGCTGTCTTGACACCATTCTGAACACAGTCTAGCGACAAATGTTATTTATAATCTATATATAGGGCTCGACGTGGAGTTACACCATGGATACATTTGTACACAAATGCTCCCGAGCTCTCATGGAGATGGTCACCAATGAGCTTCCTTTCCTATACCTAGGCGCTTTTCATATCACCATTCACCTTTCCTATACCTAGGCGCTTTTCATATCACCATTCACCTTTCCGATACCAAGGCGCTATTCATATGACTATCCACCTTTCAATACCTAGGCGCTATTCATATGACTATCCACCTTTACGAGTGGGAGTAATCGCAAATGAATATTAAAATATGTTCATTTATGATAAGTTAATGAACCAACAAATAAGTAGATATTTTATGATTTGAAATATTTGAAGCTTGAAGTTGTGCAAACAAGTAACTGTAATAAATACTCATTAACATACCGATAGCGTCGAGTCCAATCATCAGAATTGTAGCTGGGTCTCTGGAAAACCCGGAGAAGAGGCCTTCTATATTCCTGGTTATTATCATATAAATCCATCTGTATTTAAGTTGAACCAGTTGTTATGCACAAAAAATATGAATGTTATCAAAAGCCTAGCAGTCTACCTGAAGAGAAACCTACCTGTTTGATTGCTATACGGTGATGCATTATATTTATGTTTATGTATTGTATGCGCACAAACAAACAATCATGTATATTTTGTACCCTTGGCCATGAGGCCATTATACGAGATATACTCTTACTCTCACTCTCACTCTCACTCTCTGTATCTATTTTTGTCACGGAATGTTTACCTAAACAATCTCCATGGGTGTCACAACGTGATAAATTATGACGTTACACGTGTACACTAGTATACCACTTAATATGGGCAGTGATATGGACAATGAAAATGTGTTAACATGTTGCTACTCTTATAGTAGGTGTAGGAATAGTCACTCAAAGAGCCCCTTGTGTTATTCAACTTGCTAAAGTACCCATCTGTAGCGTCGTTGTGTGACTTGTATTGAACCAGTGTCACTGAGGGACACTCGACTTGGTCCAATATCGCTTTGAAATGTTCCCAAACCCATCTGTACCCATCTGTAGCGTCGTTGTGTGACTTGTATTGAACCAGTGTCACTGAGGGACACTCGACTTGGTCCAATATCGCTTTGAAATGTTCCCAAACCCAATAGAGTATCATTAATCATGCAACAGATCTGGCCACCATTACGGGTATCTAATATTGCGATTTTTGTGTTGGGTCTATATGCCAATAGTGTGTGTGCAGATTAAAGCTATACACATACCACACAACAACCGACTGTTAAACAGGAGGGAGTGAGTTTAATTTTACGCCGCATTTAGCAATATTCCAGAAATATCACCAGAAATTAGTACCCATGTGAGGAATCGCACCTATTTAACAGGATACCTCTGTCTATTGCAGACCAAAAAGCTTCAGCCAAGCTTAATAGCTGTTGTTGTTTAACGCTGCACTCAGCAATATTCCAACTATATGGCGGCGGTCTGTAAATAATCGAGTCTGGACCAGGCAATCGAGTGATCAACAGCATGAGCATCGATCTACACAACTGGGATACGATGACATGTGTTTGAAGTTTGAAAGGAATAAACTCGACCATTGACGAGTGGCGGTTGCAGTATCCAGTTTCTCAGTGGGCGAGTGGGTGGTTGTGTGAATAGCGTTTTACGCCGCAGAGTAAACAGAAGGTATTTTGGGCAAAGGTCTTCTGTCAGCTTTAGCCACACTAAGGTTGGGTCGGACCAACCTTAAAATTTCACCTTAACTAAGGCTACCTTAGCGTAAGGTAGATTCGTACAACGGGACGTCAACCTCAGCAAAGGCCTAAGGTTAAAACGTAAGGTAACCTTAGAGATACGGTTGTTTTGTACAACGGGACCCTGGAGATTGACAGTGGGGATCTCTCTCTGTGTCTCTGTGTCTCTGTCTCTGTCTGTCTCTCTCTGTGTGTGTCTCTCTCTCTATGTCTCTCTCTCTCTGTCTCTCTCTGTGTCACTCTCTCTGTCTCTCTCTCTGTCTCTCTCTGTCTCTCTCTGCTCTCTCTCTGTCTCTCTCTCTGTCTGTCTCTCTCTGTCTCTCTCTCTCTCTCTCTCTCTCTCTCTCTCTCTCAAAACAAAATAGTGTGAAACAACAAACAACTGTAATACGTTCAACAAATTAACAATTGTATTATAAAAGTAACCAAGTTTACAAATCAAGACACATCATAATTAGAAATTTCAAAGGCAGAATAATTGCAAGGGTAGTATAACATATTAGCCAAGGAAATGGCAATGTTCTTTACTGAGCCAGACATCACTACGTACATGTAACACATCAAGTCTTTGATGGCATTTAGAAGGGATACACATCAGGAAGTGAGTTTTATCGATGTCAACTTCTTTATTATGAGGAACACAACATTTCTTACTCCTCCATCAAGTGAATGAATGATATGAGGCAGAGAGTATGTAACTGTACACGTTGGTATAAACACTGCATGTATCAATTTACAACACGCACACTAAACACAAATTGTGATAAAATAGGGGCTGGGTAACCCAGTGGTTAAAGTATTCGTTCGTCATGACGAAGACCCGGGTTCGATTCCCAACAAATTACAATGTGTGGAATAATGTGAAAAGCAGCGTAAAAGCGCAACTAACTCACTGATAAACTATTCATACGTTCGCTACATTTTATGGCTCTTCGAATACTTCTCATAATGACTTATCTCCCTTTGACCACTCAGTTGTCCCTTTTGACCCATTCAGTAAATTTTGTCACTGATAGAAAAAGTGATTCAAAAGCATTACAACTCAAAATATCAATATTTTACATGATTTTGGACCACATAGTGTTATTGAGACAATATATCTGAATATAAAGTAGAAGTAATGGCTGCTTACATTACATTACATTCCAGTAGGTGAGAGAGTATGGTTTTATATCGCTTTTAGCTTTTTAGCAATATTCCAGCAATATCAAGTCGGGGGACACCAGAAATGGACTTCACACATTGTACCCATGTAAGGAATCAAACCGGGGTCTTCGGCGTGACGAGCGAACATTTAAACCACTAGGCTACCCAACCAACACTCATTATATTACAAGTTGTGTCTTTCTACAACAGTCATGATTCGTCACGTTCACATCAAAAGTCAAATGTTCCTACAGTGCATCACATCATATCTATCCTGGTATATATATATATCTATATTTAACATAAAGAAAGAGATTGTGACATGTTCTCTCACTTACAGCATGTAAATACCTTCACTACATTGTCTATACACAAGTATATACGACCACGCCCACCAACACACAGTCCCCATGGATTCTCGACACCATCCTGTGATGTCAGTATGTTTCTAACAAACTGTCCTGACTGTGTCAGATGGATGACTCTGTGTAGTAAGTTGTCTGTCACCAGGATGTCACCTGTGCTGGTACTTGTGATACCACGTGGATACATCAGTGCTGTGTCTCCTGTGGGTCTGTAGTTGAACACCACATCACCCTCGGGGGTCAGACACACGACACACTTGGTTCCATTGTCAGACACCAGGATGTTTCCTGTCCTCGTGGTAGAGAGGAAGTAGGGAAACTTTAAGATGTTTCCACCTCTGTGACCAGGACAAACTGTCTTCAGCATGTGTCCCGACATATCCAGGATATCAACACAGGGAGGGGAGTGGGAACTTGCTGCTAGTGTTGATGGTGTCAGAGACGTTATACCCCAGTACTGTTTGCTGGTTGTGATGGTCGACAGCAGCACTAGGTCAGGGTTCACTTCAACTGTTACAATCTGACTGGTATACGGCAAAGTGACAGCCACCTGGTTGTGTTTCAGCCTTGTTATACCACATGGTCTACCGTCCAGACTGAGCTTGCTGTGACCTGGTTGACTGTTCCTGGTGTAGAAGGACTTTACACTGTCGTTGTTGTAGTCTGTAACTACCACTGTGTCTGTACCATTCACCACTAGCATGGTTACGTCATAGGGGTCTCCTCTACCTGCATCTCCTGCTACAGTCACATCAATGGTGTCCTGTAACACAGGAGCAGCCTTCAGGTCCAGCACATCGTCATACTGGACGTGTATCTCACCCAGATGGAGATCTTCCAGTGCTCTACTCAGCTTGTCCGTGTCCTGTCTGAATGTTATCCTGTCTATTCTTCCCTTCTCCTTCACGTCTACGACTCCGACAGTTTCCACATCACCGGCCTCACATCCCTGATACATCTCATACACATCCATGTCACACTCAGATTGTAGAGCCTGGTCTATCAGCTCAGTCTGTTGTTGGTACATCTGTACTGACATTTCACCTGACTTTATGTTTGCCTTCAGTTGTCCAATGTGTCTGTCAGACATCTCTTTCAGTTCAGACAGAAGTTTCCGTTCCTTGGCTTTGATCATCTGTATTGCTGTGAGACTTGCAGACTTGATGCTTGATTCTATTTGTATATATAGTGCCAATTCTTCTTTGACAATGGAGTTTTGTTTTCCAACATATGTTTTTATCTCATCGTGTTTCTTTAATAAATTCTCTTTATTCCTTTTCAGCTCGGTTTTCATTGCAGGAATCTCTGACTCAATTTCAACAACCATGTCACATTTCCTGTGATGGATAGTGCAGCATGTTTGACAAACAGCTGTTTTACAGTCTTTGCAAAGATATTTGATATTCTCGTCCTTGTGAACTTTACACATGACCTTTCTCTTGACCTTGACCTTTGTCTCACCAGACAGGTCAACTACGTCATGGTGACGGAAAGAGGGAATTCGTTTGTGCATCCTTGTACATTGTTCACATAGTGCGTCGTCACAAACAGAACACCAAGATGTAGCTGCAGTTGTCTCCCCTTCCTCCTTACAATAACTGCAGTTAGTTGTATCTGAAATAACCATTCATTCATGTGGTGATAATAACCTGGTGATATCACAATGTATGATAGGGCTAGATGTGGTGATATTAACGTGGTGACATCACAATGTATTATAGGGCTAGATGTGGTGATATTAACCTCGTGACATCACAATATATTATAAGGCTAGATGTGGTGATATTAACCTGGTGATATCACGAAGTATGATAGGGCTAGATGTGGTGATATTAACGTGGTGACATCACAATGCATTATAGGGCTAGATGTGGTGATATTAACATGGTGACATCACAATGTATTATGGGGCTAGATGTGGTGATATTAACCTGGTGACATCACAATATATTATAAGGCTAGATCTGGTGATATTAACCACCTGACATCACAATGTATTATATGGCTAGATGTGGTGATATTAACGTGATGACATCACCATGTATTACAGGGCTAGATGTGGTGCTATTAACCTGGTGACATCACAATGTATTATATGGCTAGATGTGGTGATATTGAAGTGGTGACATCACAATGTATTACAGGGCTAGATGTGGTGATATTAACCTGGTGACATCACAATGTATTATATGGCTAGATGTGGTGATATTGAAGTGGTGACATCACAATGTATTACAGGGCTAGATGTGGTGATATTAACCTCGTGACATCACAATTTATTATAGGGCCAGATGTGGTGATATTAACATGGTGACATCACAGTGTATTATAGGGCCAGATGTGGTGATACTAACATGGTGACATCACAGTGTATTATAGGGCTAGATGTGGTGATATTAACCTGGTGACATCACAATGTATTATAGGTGCTAGATGTGGTGATATTAACCTGGTGACATCACAGTGTATTATAGGGCCAGATGTAGTGATATTACCTGGTGACATCACAATGTATTATAGGGCCAGATGTGGTGATATTAACCTGGTGACATCACAATGTATTATAGGGCCAGATGTGGTGATATTAACCTGGTGACATCACAATGTATTATAGGGCCAGATGTGGTGATATTAACATGGTGACATCACATTGTATTATAGGGCCAGATGTGGTGATATTAACCTCGTGACATCACAATGTATTATAGGGCTAGATGTGGTGATATTAGCCTGGTGACATCAAAATGTATTATAGCGCTAGGTGTGGTAATATTAACCTCGCGACAACACAATGTATTATAGGGCCAAATGTGGTGATATTAACCTGGTGACATCACAATGTACTATAGGGCTAGATGAAGTGATATTAACCTGGTGACATCACAATGTATTATAGGGCTAGATGTGGTGATATTAACCTGGTGACATCACAATGTATTATTGGGTTAGATGTGGTGATATTAACCTCGTGACATCACATTGTATTATAGGGCTGAATGTGGTGATATTAACCTGGTGACATTACAATATATTATAGGGCTAGATGTGGTTATATTGACCTGGTGACGTCACATTGTATTATAGGTCTAGATGTGGTTATATTAACCTGGTGACATCACAATATATTATAGGGCTAGATGTGGCGATATTAACCTGGTGACATCACAATGTATTATAGGGCTGAATGTGGTGATATTAACCTGGTGACATTACAATATATTATAGGGCTAGATGTGGTTATATTAACATTGTGACATCACATAGTATTATAGGGCTAGTTGGGTTATATTAACCTGGTGACATCACAATATATTATAGGGCCAGATGTGGTGATATTAACCTGGTGACATCACAATGTATTATAGGGCTGGATGTGTCGCATCATGTTCCTACTTGACACATGCGAGAAAATGTATCAGAAACAACAGGTTGAAACGTCATGTAAATATGTTTGAAATTGTCTCACCGTCAACGTTGTTGTACGGATCATGAATAAGGTTTATATATGTCTTTGGTCATGTCACCTGATATGCTGTCTCTTGCTCGTTGAACAAATATCCACAATGAATGTTCACATTCCTCACAGACAGATTTTTACATACATCAAACTACACTAGTATATACATAGCAGGGGTCATACAATGTTCATAACATCACAAACATTTATACTGCTTAAATCAATTATTTCACTACCTCCTTGCAAACAACACGTGTATTGCTACAACCTACAACTATTCACCTTTAGATCCGGGGCCAAACGAGTCCAACAGTCCCTGGATGACAAAGCTCGGCTTGACGTCATCCGCCCACTCCTCCACTGGTCTCTCGGGGTTAGAAACTTTCGTCATCTTGCTGCAGAATGGACACGGGAGAGACTTGGCACTGAGGGCTTCCCGTCTGGTTTTGGTGTAGTTGACGACACATTTCCGACAGAAGGTGTGATTACACACAAGTGTACAGGGCTTGTCAAACACCTCTGTACATATGGTGCATGTCAGGAAGTGTTCTGTCAACTTCTGGGAGGTCGCCATCTCTCCTACCAAAAGTCAGCAGACACGACATAAACATCCTTTACACTATACAAACCACAACATTCATTACATAAACACCGACCATATTTGTAGTCCCGATTTACTGACAGAACTATGTCTAGTAAATCCTGCTCTTGGAATTATGAACGAATGAAAACATATTCCAGATGTATGTAGATCCTATAATCAATGAGAGATAACATTGGTAGACGTGTTTCAACTGGGCGTGTGTATTGTGTGTGTATGATATGTGCGTGTGTGGGTCGCTCTGTCTTGCTGGTCATAAATAAAACATGGGCCGTCTGTATTGTGTGTGTATGATGTGTGCGTGTGTGGGTCGCTCTGTCTTGCTGGTCATAAATAAAACATGGGTCGTCTGTATTGTGTGTGTATGATGTGTGCCTGTGTGGGTCGCTCTGTCTTGCTGGTCATAAATAAAACATGGGTCGTCTGTATTGTGTATGTATGTATGATGTGTGCGTGTGTGGGTCGCTCTGTCTTGCTGGTCATAAATAAAACATGGGTCGTCTGTATTGTCATATTGTCGTATGATGTGTATGATGTGCGTGTGTGGGTCGCTCTGTGTTGCTGGTCATAAATAAAACATGGGTCGTCTGTATTGTGTGTGTATGATGTGTGCGTGTGTGGGTCGCTCTGTCTTCCTGGTCATAAATAAAACATAGTACACCTATTCTATCAGATATTTCACGTTATACACAAACAATCTTGTATTTGAGAATTGTTAGAAACTGGATATTGGTTGAAGGGAAGTGACCGTCTTGGTTTGATTCTGTCAGTCTTGTAGATTCTTTCTGTGGCCTGATATTGATACTGGATACTTTTTCATACGTAAAACACAGAACATACATTCCCTCAGATATTTCACGGTTTACACAAACACAAAATTCTCTCTTTTGCCTGACATACTGGAACCGTTGAGCCACAATACGAAGGTTTTTAGACACTTGTGATGCCTTTGTACTGATTTCTGAACTTACTTAATTTTAGAATACAACTCTTAATTACAGCACATTTCTTTGTTGTTGTTGTTTTTGTTGGTTTCAAACCTTGCTCGTTTACGGTATTAATTCATAATTTAGTTCAGGTGTTTAGTTCAAGAAACACTGCCATGAAAGTCAGTCGGTCGGTCCCCCGTGCTGTTGTATGAGTTGTGCTATTGTGCTGTAGAATATGTTATCTTTTGAGGTTCACAAGCATTACCACATGACATTGTATGGTATAACAGACTGGGCATAGTTTGGTGTCACGGAGCACAAGGAATCAGTGACCTGTCTGTGAGCAGCTCGTCAATGGATCTTTGCAACTCGTCGTCACCAGCATTACAACATGCAGTTATGAACCGTGTGCAGCATGTCAATCACCTGACAGAGATACATGGCGACACCAGCTCATTACCATATCGAAAGTAGGAGACGTTCAGTTCGGGTTTCTCTACATTAGATGTAAAATAATCTGTTAATGTAGAAGTATTTTACCATATTTTGTGCTGTAGCATTTATCTGTGATCATTTCAGTAACAACTTTAGCAAACACACATTATATACATACATCCACATACATCGGGACAGATCTCAGTATTGAAGTCAAGAGGCCGATCAAGGAAGTAATGAAAGTAGACACTCCATACACTATGCTCAGTCTAAATACTACAGTATATTATGTGCCCGGATTTGAGAATGTGCCTGGAGATGACCGAACAGTTAGATGAACCATTGTGGTGTCACCTGTACACAGCAGGACAGGTGTGTAGCTTATAACTGGAATAGACACAGCCCCTGTGACAACACACTTACCTGAGACAGCCAGGCAACCGGTGTAGAGGGAACTGAGCACCAGGCGAAATGGACCCTAGGTAGCCGGTGTAGAGGGAACTGAGCACCAGCCGAGATAGACCCTAGGTAACCGGTGTAGAGGAAAACTGAGCACCAGGCGAGATAGACCCTAAGTAACCGGTGTAGAGGGAAACTGAGCACCGGAAGAGATATACCGTGCCGGGTTGACGTGCTTCATTCGTGATCAACTCGTCATTCAGGGACAGTTTGCATGTTACGGAAAGGGACGAGTGATGTCGAATGAGTGATGGTGTTTTGAAATCGTCTTGAATGCGCAGGGTCACGATTCAAGATTTATTGTCACAGTCTTATAGCTGTGATAGTGTTAAGATTAGAAAATTCAGTCACATATGATATAGCTGGATGACTGCATAACTTCAGTCACTCACTCACTCACTCACTCACCCAGGAATAAGTCACACCGTTATCCTTTTTGTGGGTCTGCTACACTCTACACGTTCACAAAGCACATGTTGTCTGTTGGTTTGGACTTGAATATGGAAACTGTTGTACCTTCGACAACATGAACATTCATGTTGACTCGTCTGCTCGTCAGACGGAAGACCCGGGTTTGATTCCCCACATGGACCAAATGTGTGAAGCCCATTTAGGTGTCCCGCCGTGATACTGCTAAAAGCGGTGTTAAAACACTCCCTAACTTTTCTGGGGACTGGACTGGACATTTTTTTGTACAGACGTTTAATATATAAGAGTAAATGCTGAAGTATACTGGACAAGATTTGTGCTGTGCTGGTATGAGTGAAGGCGACCAGAGTCCGTCAGAGCTCCTGGACATGACCCCCGCACGTTGACCCTCAAGATTACTGAATGATGTCGGTACACTCACAGACTTGTGTACAGATTGGTCAAGACTGACATGTGGTTAACATCGGTCACGAACTGTATGCTTCATTCACCATGAGATTCTGGTTATCAAGGATCAAGGAACATCTGTCTGTCGTACGTGGGGACTATATGAATAGGTTCCGTCACTAGGAAGAATAATTGTTGTCATGCACCGGCCGCTTGGAAGCTGCTACAATAGCAATCACTCGTTTATCCGGCCAACACTCGACTATATACAAACTACCGTCATCAACATGTGGCTGGAAACTGAGTCCTGCGTTGACCATCAAGTGGGCGTGAACACTGTTTACGAGGGGCTATCAAAATGTTTGAGTCTGAAATACTTCTGATATGCGCATGATAAAAATGGCTGTTTGATATTGAAGAAAGGTTTATATCATTCACATAAATGTAATGTTGACATGGACATGTCCCTACTTTACGTGACATCACATGTACCCCTATCGAAACTGCAGAAATGAATAAGCTTGAGTACAGAGTATTCATAAAGTGTTTGGTTCTCTAGGGCCACACGGCAAAACACATTGAAATGCAGACCCGTGAAGGTCCGGGTTAGAATATTGATCTTCAGTAACCCATGCTTGCCGTTAGAAGCGACTTACGGGATCGGATGGTCAGGCTAACTTGGTTGACACATGTCATCGGTTCCTAATTGCGCAGATCGATGCTAATGTTGTTAATCACTGGATTGTCTGGTCCAGAGTCGAATATTTACAGACCACCGCCATATAGCTGGAATATTGCTGAGTGCGGCGTAAAGCTAAACTCACTGACTCACATTGCGATGAGCGATTGACATGGGATTCAGTACTCGAACTGCTGTCGATAGCTTTTCAATGTGCCACTCGTATGTCTGGTTACAACACATGAGAACAGCTCAAGTGGTGATACACTATTCAGGCGTTCGCGGGGCGGTGGGGCAGTCTAGTGGTTAAAGCTTTGGCTCGTCACGCCGAAGACCCGGGTTCGAATCCCCACATGGGTACAATATGTGTAGCCCATTTCTGGTGTCCCCAGCCGTGATATTGCTAGATATTGCCAAATGCGGCATGAAACTCAGTCAGTCAGTCAGGCGTTCGATGTAATTGCTCTATAAATATACCTCATCACGAGTTATCTCCCTTCCACTACATAGCTGTCAAGTCAATTCAGTAACAGGTGTTGATCGCGTTGAACAGAGGGCAGCTCAGACGTATGTCATTTGACAGTACATACAACTCTCTCATGTGGAGATATCCCAGAAACATCTGTAGTCTACCTGCTCTACATCCGTACTCTACCTCCTCTACATCTGTAGTCTACCTGCTCTACATCTGTAGTCTACCTGCTCTACATCTGTAGTCTACCTGCTCAACATCTGTAGTCTACCTGCTCTACATCTGTAGTCTACCTGCTCTACATCTGTAGTCTACCTGCTCTACATCTGTTGTCTACCTGCTCTACATCTTCAGTCTACATGCTCTACATCTGTAGTGTACCTGATCTACATCTGTAGTCTACCTGCTCTACATCTGTAGTCTACATGCTCTACATCTGTAGTCTACCTGATCTACATCTGTAGTCTACCTCCTCTACATCTGTAGTCTACCTGCTCTACATCTGTAGTCTATCTGCTCTACATATGTAGTCTATCTGCTCTACATATGTAGTCTACCTGCTCTACCTGCTCTACATCTGTAGTCTATCTGCTCTACATATGTAGTCTATCTGCTCTACATATGTAGTCTACCTGCTCTACCTGCTCTACATTTGTAGTCTACCTGATCTACATCTGGAGTCTACCTCCTCTACATCTGTAGTCTACCTGCTCTACATCTGTACTGTACCTGCTCTACATCTGTAGTCTATCTGCTCTACCTGCTCTACATCTGTAGTCTACCTCCTCTACATCTGTAGTCTACCTCCTGTACCTGCTCTACATCTGTAGTCTACCTCCTGTACCTGCTCTACATCTGTAGTCTACCTCCTCTACATCTGTAGTCTACCTCCTGTACCTGCTCTACATCCGTAGTCTACATGCTCTACATCTGTAGTCTACCTGCTCTACATCTGTAGTCTACCTCCTCTACATCTGTAGTCTACCTCCTCTACATCTGTAGTCTACATGCTCTACATCTGTAGTCTACCTGCTCTACATCTGTAGTCTACCTCCTCTACATCTGTAGTCTACCTCCTCTACATCTGTAGTCTACATGCTCTACATCTGTAGTCTACCTGCTCTACATCTGTAGTCTACCTCCTCTACATCTGTAGTCTACCTCCTCTACATCTGTAGTCTACCTCCT